TTCTAGGTAGAGAGTATTCAGAAATGGTTTCCCATTCCCTTTCTCTGGGGAGGGATCTCCGGGACTGTGCAACTTGCCCAAGGCCACACAGGCTGGCTCTTCTCCCAGGAGTCGTAAAGGGGGAATCGAGCTTCCAGCCTCCAGCTTCTTAAACCACTGAGCTATCCAGAGAGCAAGTACTACACAAGTGAAATAAATATTGTTACAGTTTGGTTTAACAGCATCTTCATGAAAATGTCAGTGTCTTCTGTGTTACGTAATTTACCAGGAAGAAACGAGAAATGTTGATGCAGCAGAAATATCAAGTGTTTGACTAAGGACGCAAACAGCCAGGCCCTGCATGGTTTACTGTGCTCTGGATTTCTCTGGGTAAGTGCTCACATGCCCCTTAAATGGGACTATGATCCTCTTTCTGTATTTTCCAACTTTCTGTATTTTGGGGCCATTCACTGTGGGCTACCGATTTCTGAATGGGCTGAATCAAGCCAGCCAGTGTGTGTGTGGCGGTGTCCGTGGGCTGAAATTTTCTTCTAAATTTCTGACGTGGCAGCAATCAGAAGCACCCCTCCTACGTGTCAGCTTATGACCGATTAGCTCCTCCAGGAACAAGTCTGGTCCGATGACATGGGCTACCACCTGCAACTGCCTATGTTACTGCATGTCAGCCTTTAAAGTGCCACAAAACATGTTGTTTTTACTGCAGTCGACTAACACAGCAAAGTGCTTAGACATAGGAACACAAAATATAAAAAAATAACCACCATACACATTTGCAAAATACACGGTTGATTGGGAGGGAGCACAGCCTCAGTATACCCTACACTCTTCTCATTATGAAATGCTTCATAAATGTCTGAGATTATTTTATTATACTGATTTTTAAAAGGAAATGCAGCCACAGGAAACACCTCATTCTCTCTTCCTCCCCCCCCCCGACAACACACCAATTCCGGTCTCCTAACCCACAAAAATTGCACTGCTGAATCAAATCGATCCAGAATCAACTGGATCTAGTCCATATTTCATTGGCAACTAAGTAGATGAAACAAAGACAAGGCAAACCATGTAGGAGACCACCTACATCGGTGGGCAAGGCCACTTCACAAGGAATCTCAAAGCTGCAGGCCTGCCTCCCCAGGTAAGGCAGTTAAGTAGAATTTAGTTATTTGGCAAGAAGACACAGCACAAGGCTGCCAACCCATTGTGGTCTCCCTGATGGAGAGTCCCTCTTGCAAAGCACAGAGGCTATTGTGGGAGGAGAAGGCAATGCTTTGAAAGCTGGGTGTTTCAAAAAGAAAAGGGGAAAAAAGCCACCCAGCTGAGATTACAAAATTCCAAATTACAGAAACCTTGGGTCACAGGTACATGAGGGCTTCACATGCTCTGAATCATTCCTGTGGTTTCTGATCTCCGGTAGACTCTGCCTTCAAGGACCCTGGAAGCACTGCAGTATCTGCTAGGGCGGATTTTTTTTTGAAGGGGTGGAGGAGGAGTGACAAGATCCCAGGAGTAGGCAGAACACCACAAACACACACTCACACAGAACGAGTCACCAGTGCTTCTGTTGCATCAAGAGGAGGCCACCCTTAAGGCGAAAGCATTGAACCCCCTCTCCCCAAAACAGGAGCAGATAATTCGCTTTCCACGCTGGGGGGTGCGATCCCTTCACTAGCCACCCTCCAAAGCCACCCCCTTTTTTTAAATGCAAGCTTTCAAAATCATCAGCTTGCATAGTTTGGGGTTGCCTTTCGGGGAGTGTTTTTTTTGGGGGGGGGCTAATCGAGGCTGCAAGGTCTTTGCTGGCCAGCGCGGCTAGCATTGCAGCAGAGGCAGCGGCTTCCTCTCCCCCTCCCCAAAAATTTCCAGGCACCCTCCTCTTCCTGCCAAGGGCGAAGGCAGGCGTCCCCTCCACCCGAAAGCAGCCTTGCAACAGCCAAAACAAGGAAAACAACAAATGCAATCGGTAAAAAGCCCCCAAGCC